CCTGCAGAAACCCAGTGCTTATAAACGGGACGTTTCACGAACCCACAACTGACTGTACCCGCCATTTTCATGGCGTCATGCGATTGCAACCAATGCTCATCTATAATTTTCGGTGGAATGGTAGCTAGTCTAGCAGCTAGCTCGGTTCGATACTTACTTGCAACAGAAGTTGCAACCAACTTGCTGACATCAATCCGTTGGTGGCGGTCACTTCGTTGGCCACTGAAAAGTAAGGCAAGATTGGCGCAGACCAAGACATGGTCAGAGTCCAGATAGGTACTCCAAAAGGAGCGGCAGTTTTGTACACAACCACGCCAGCGGTAGCTGATCGCGATGTGATCAATCTGAGTCCAGGCTTGAGATGCAGAGGGAGGACGCCAGGTGGCACATCGGCGATGACTGTGCCGAAAGTTAGTGCTAGCTAGAAACAGGTTGTGGTCTGTGCATAGTTGCAGTAGGCGGTCCCCGTTATCTGTCCTGCGACCAACAAGTCCCCATCGGCCACCTAAACGACTCTCTTCTGTGCCTAGACGCCCGACCTGAGCATTCAAGTCTCCGGCTAGTACCACAATATCTGTCGAACGCACTTTCTGGAGAAGAACAGATAACTGGTGGTAAAACTCATCCTTGATTGCATCCGGGCTGCAATCTGTCGGAGCATAGGCGGAGATGACGAAAAGACATCGTTTCTCACGCCGATTTCTTCTCAATTTGATGGAACTCTCTAATCTAACAACACATAACCGACCGTTAATGGGGATCCAATCGATTAGTGCTGCCTCAGCTCTAGCGCTTAGTGCGACACCAACGCCAGCAAGACCAGACGAAGATGCCACAGGGTCCCCGGATAAGCGCACGTAAAACAAGCTTTTCGAAGCGACAGATGGAGATCGAATTTGTAGTACTTCGCCAGAGTCTTGAATACGGGTCTCGGATAGACAGCAAACATCAATATTAAGACTTCCCAAAGAGATAGCCAGCTCTATCTTTTGTCCGACCTGCATAAATGTGCGAACGTTGAACGCAGCCAGTTTGAATGGTGCACGTGGTTTCAGAAAAACTGCTTCAGTCCTCGTATTCAGTGGTAACATACAATTTTCAGCCGGACAGTGGCTGCTGTATAAGTCGAAAAAAATAAGTAGACAGAGTAGGAATAAAAGAGGGTGAATAGTGATGTAGTAAATAATAATAATAATAATAATAATAATAATAATAATAATAATAATAATAATAATAATAATAATTGAATCATTTGAATGTTCGTCGAAGCAAGAGAATTAGTTTTCTTGGGGGGCCACACCCCGAGCCTTTGACCTAATGGTCTAACCCCCAAGACAGTGGAGCAAAGTGAGGAGATGCAGTCCCACGGTAGCCGGGTGATCGAAAATTGGTTCATAGGCCATTTGTTGCCGCAGGATACTGGAGTCCATGTGCACCACTGACTTGGAATTCAGTTAAAGCGCCGGACATTCGCTTTTCGTCCTCTCATTTTCGTAAACAACAACCCCGCCACAAGAAGGCAATGAGTAGGACTTCCCTGGCAGAGTCTATATACGCGTGGCCGTGTGAGAGTATTTCGAGAAAGAGGGTGAACCCACCTCGCTCTCGGCCATACCAGCGCATTATGAAGTGTATAAATATTCTAGTACCCCTTTGTAAAAATATTTGAGCTTAAGTAACCAAATTTTAAAAATATGTCAAGGTGGAGTCATTGTAACACTACAATATACTCAAAAATGTCAGGTCTACAATCTTTTTAGCGAAAAACCATCCGTTAGATTCCTAAAAAAGGAACTTTTGAACATCTCGATATTTGACCATCGTCACCTCTGGAAGATTATTCACAGTTTATGCTAAAAAGCTTGACCTAACCTACCTTAAACGGGGAGCCAACGAGATACACCCTCCCTTTATCTGGAGGCCTGAATGCTAGATCTCGTGAACTAGCGGGTTTGGGCATAGCATTAAATATGAGGGCAGAACAAGCACTATTGGGATGTATCCCTGTTAACAGTCGCTTATGTGCTATTCGGATAAACAGCTCCGTAAGAACTCGGAAGGATAGGGACACATGTCGTTTCCACCTACACTCCCACTGACTGCAGCCCGGACGAGGTGAGATGAATTTTACAGGAAGCTTCAAAATGCTGAACACTCAGACGTAGTACTTGTAGCAGGTGACTCTAACGCCCAAGTGGTTAGCTTAAAACAAACAGAAATACATTTAGGTAGGTATTTAGGTATTCCGGATCAGCGAACAGATAATAGTGATCGTCTGCTGCAACTGTGCTCAAACAATCGTCTATTTTTAACAAGCACTAATTTTAAGCATAAGAAGAGCCATCGTCTAACGTAACGACCTCCTGCAACAAACCAACGATGGACTCCAATAGGCCATATTGCCACCAGTCATCCTTGGAGAAGCCAGATAGAAGACTGCTGCTCGTTCTGGGGTACATGTTTAGACTCTGTTCATGCTCTAATACGAGCACGCATTCACCTGCGCCTCACTGGATGCAGAAAAGCCACATTAAACAGAGCCATTAGAAATGAAGTCAGCGATGAGAAGGGCAAAGGTAAATTTTAGGAGCAAACGAAGTCACACTTAGGCAATTCTGGAAGCTAGGCTGACCCAGATGTTACTTGTAAACATATACTAACAGCTGTGGAAACAGCAGTGACATCTATTAGTGATCTGAACCAAAGGGCCACGAAAAATCAGTGGATTTCTACAAAGTCTATTGCCCTGATAGACCCTCGCAAACTCATCCCATCAGGCTCCGAACACGATGAAGAGCAAAAGCAAATCAGATCTAGGCTAACCAAAAGCAAAAGATATGGAAAAGACAGCGGCTGTATGTAACACAAGACGGCTTTTCGGACTAATAGAAGAAACCGGGATTAAGAAGTTAAGTGTAAGTGAGACAATCTAGGAAATAACGGCACTCTTAGATATTTAGAATGATGGGTTGAACACTTTAAGGAGCAGTTCAGCTGCTCTACAGCTACCCACCATCTCCAAACAGCCTGAGTGGAACACTGAAGTAGGTCCGCCGACTCTAATCGAAGTTTAAAAAGCTACAGCTAATCTGAAACGAGGAAGAGCAGCTGGTCCAGATGAATTGGCTCCAGAGGTCTCTAAGTATGTTGGTCCAGTTTTAGCGATTAGGTTAGCTAATATTTTAACTAAAATCCGGGAGTTGGACGTAATCCCATCTGGCTAATCACAATCACTAATTGTCCCAATATATAAGAGGTCAAAATCATCCTGTGACTATCATAGTACATTAGTTTGACTAATATAACATCTAAAATACTAGCCTCAATAACTACAGGACGCCCAACAAAGACTCGTGAACTGCAAACACGTGAAAATCAGGCTGGCTTCAGACCTGGTCGTGGCCGCATCGACCACAGATTCAACATTCGTCAGATTTTAGAACACAGGCATGCCTATCAGTATCCCATATGATGGCTTTCCTTGACTTAAAAGCAGCATTTGACTCTAGACCGAGATGTTCTGTGGCAGTGTCTGTCATTGAAAGGCGTACCTCAGAAGTACGTAAATCTTGTGAAGTCTCTTTACTCGAACACTACCAGTCGAGTTAGAGCTCATGGCGAACTGTCGTCCGATTTCACAACTTCAAGTGGTGTCCGACAAGGTTGTTCACTATCTCCATTTTTGTTTAATTTCATCATAGACCTACTGCTGGAAATAACGTTCTCGTCGACTGAGTTTTCAGGAATTGATCTCCTACCAGGAGATACACTTACTTAGAATACACAGATGACATAGTCCCGTCTGGTGAAGACGCTAATAAAATGCAGAGTTTTTTGGTAGCACTCAGAAACAATGCCAGAATGTTTGGAATGCGTTTCTCCACCTCTAAATGCAAATTATTGCTTTAGGACTGACCTGCGTCAACACCTGAACTAAGGATAGAGAATGAAGTGGTCGAACACGTCGACAACTTCACTTATCTTGGAAGTCTGTTCGGCACTAATTGATTGGTGCCTGACAAAATCTGCACGGATTCAGAAAGCTCGTTTGGCTTTTGCCAACTTACTTCACCTATGGTGAAGGCAAGATATCCGTCGACTGAGATGGTTGGGCCAAGTATTTTACATGCCAAACCACCGACTACCATGACGCACAATGCTGACCAGTGTTGGAGACGGACGAAAGTTAGGGGCGGCCAAACCAAAACGTGGTATCAGTCCATAAGGTCGCTAAGTCCTGGTCTGAGCCATGTCGGTAGATCCAGACTACTTGGTTGGAGTCTGCGCGACTATCATAACCAGTGACTGGAAACTATGTGACGACTCAGAATCGATCACAATGGCGTAGGTGTATACGCTCTTTGTCTTCCCATAAACCGTGAGATTAAAATTACTTTATACCTTTCTTTCTACGAACCAATTCTTTCTCTTTGTATTGTATCCTTATATGAAATCTTTCTTTTATATATTACCATCATTGAGATAACTACTTCTGTGGATTTAGTGATCATCTTGTTGTGCTAATGAGGTGTGGCAACTTCTACCGATGCGTATACATGCCTGGTCCTACGTTTCAGCTGGCTAACTGACATGTATTTTATCTTATCGACTGTGCACTACCTTGGCTTTCAGTAGACAAGGGACGTGTTTGTAACTTAGATTTCTTATGAACTATTCTCTAGCCCAAACGCATTCTAAAGCTTATAGAACGCAGGCATCATATTGTGGTTAGGTGAATAACATGAAAGTTTGACCCCGAAACAATGAGGAAATATAAGAATCATGAGGCTGTCGTTTTCAATTACGGGAAACTCAACTATTGCATTGGTGTGCAGAGTTTCAGCCTTTCCTGTTTATCAATATCGAACTAGCGAAACTAAGTAAGACTAACTTCTGAATAATATGTGGCAGGTTGCTTTAATATTATTAAGCAAGTATTTTACATACAGAATCATCTTAAACTACATTAGAAAGACGCTAAAATACTTTTGATATGTACAGTAAATTTATGAGGAAACGTAAATATATTATAGAATGTATGCCTATATATCTTATTCAAAGTTATCAGAGATCATTTTTAGACAATTTCAATTTCGTAGAACATAAAGATGAATAAAGTGTCTCAAAATCACTGGTGTATGCACCATGAAAGGCGGGAAATAATCCTACCAAATAAATCACATAAAATAGCATTTGTAGTGTATACAGTTTATGAATGTGGATTTGATGAAAAAGCCTTGATATCCCACACCTAAAAACAAAAAAACCGTAAACTAGTCAGTAATTAAAGCTACAGAAAAACATGAACCATACATATACACAATTTCAATAACACGTTATTTTTCCAATTGAGAGTTGATGACATTCGGGAATTTAAGCAGCTAGGTATCAAAATACAATGTTTTGTGCTATGAAATGCCTATATTCAACCAAAACAACGCTGACTGATAGTTATACACTTGAACCTAATAATTCTTGACAGGTTTAACGATAGTACAATTACAGCAATTACTGTCATAGTGAAAGCGACGGCACAGTCAGCAAATAAACTCGTACTAGTGATTCTTCTTGACTATCATAGCGCTTAATTATTATACACTACTGACTAGCTATTGTGTAACTTATATACCTCATTTAGATTTTCATATAGGATCTATACACATTAACAATATAGAGGCCAATATAATCAACGTCCAGTAAGCTTGTTTTGCCACACTCAAGTAAAATAAACGTAGAGACTCGGTCGAACCTATTGTGAAGCAAACAGCATGCTAACCATGTTTATTTGAACTGTTAGAATAAATTTCACGCTAAATATTTCATGTGTGAAATGTATTCAACAACTCTCTAAAGGAATTCATCATGTTTGTTCGTAACAGAAAGATATCTAAACAACACCTGTACAGGGAGATAATCAAGGTGAACAATACTATATTATTTTACCTTATCAATGAAATGCTCTTTATAAAATTCGACGTAACATTAAACTAAGGTTTCCAAGAGTTTTGTACGGTTATTTAATTACGCTTAAACACAGAATGTAATTGGTGGGATGCTCCAATGGCTAAAATTATGAATATTGGAAAAAAGTTCTGTTTGTTCAAAAAAGTCTAACCTAACTTTAGCTTGTCAGTTCACTGCTATCCACAGAATGGTATCACCACACTGAATTCTCTTATTTTTTTTAGTCCAGTCCAAAACATGTCTAAGAAATATAACATTGAAGTTATATTTTCACAAATCACTGCTAACGAAACGGTTTTCCAGCTGCTATTATACATAACTTTTGCTATGGTCATTATTATTGGCTTAATGTGAACTTGGGTACATGAATTACCAAAAACCCAACGATCGAAAATATCGCTTCAGTAGTATGCTTGTTTATACCATGATAGAACGTCTGATAATGAAAGTTGTAGACAGAAGACATACTTATTAGTGAAGAAGTTTGTTTGCTAGAGTCATGATTCTAGTTATTACTACTTTAAATTTAAAAAAACTACACATTTGTTGTAGTTACCTTGATAATCCGATCTTTCCCAACCGTTAGAAGTAAGTTCAAGGATTCCTCTACACGAATACATGTAACAGGATGGCGAGCGTCAAACGAAATAGCCAAACTCCTGCGGCTAAAAGATAACGAAACAAAGTCAGTTAATTATTATTAAGCTATGTTGTTTTGCCTGACAAAAATTTACCATATTCATTTATTTAAACACAAAAACATTGGCTCAGAGACTCCAAAATATATATGCGTCACACAAATCATTGAATTTGTGTGGGCTGGGATACTACCCGTTTGCTAAAACTGAAGCGAGTGGTTTTCTTAGACGGCCACTCCCTGAGTTTTTGACCCCGAGGTTTAATCCACAAGGGAGTGGAGCTACGTTAGGAGATGCAATCCCATGGTAGCCAGCGGCCAAGAATAGGTTAATATGCCATTTGTTCTTCCAGGATCCTGGAACCCATGTGCACAACTGGTTTGGAGTCATGATTTTCCAAATTTCCTAGGCGGATCCTCCGTATCCGCTAAACCGGTTGAAGCGCTGGGCGTTCCAATTTTCGTCCTTTCAATTTTGTAAACAACACTCTCAATATGAAGGGGCAGTGGGTACGACTTTCCTAGCAGTAGCTGTATACGCTAGGCCATGTGTGGGTATTTGGAGAGCGAGGGCGGACTCTCTCTACCTAGAGGGGGATAAAAATGTACCATAACAAGGGAAATAACTGGACACCAATATAAAACAAGAACTTTAGGAATAGACTTTACAATTCTCATATATTAGATAGAATATTACCAAATCAACAATATCAAACGTTCAACTTTAAGGTTTATGACTAATGAATTCGTCAAGCATAAAAGTGCACCTGACAAATAGTCCGCGTGCTGATGGTACAAACTTTGTACGAGGGAATTTCGAAACGCTCGCCATACTTCATAACTCAAGTGCACTTTCGTTAGAAAACTGATAAAACGGACAAACATTGATCTTGAATACTAATTATCCACAGAATGAAATGACTCTCGCAGTGAATTAAACGACTCGATAACCAAAATACAGACGATCGATATTTGTCAACGCTATATATACTACTTGATAGCTCGGAACAAAGTAGAAAGGACAGAAATTTGAATTTGACTGAATGCAGTGGACCCTAATTACTAATATTAGAGCCACAGTTACCGCTATTTACAAACACATAATTTTATTTGGATAAAAAATAGACCAACTTTAAAATCACATACTCTGAATCAGTTATTAAAGGAAAGCATTGATTGCATATACGAACATCTTTTTCAAAACCCATACACGGTAGATTAGACCGATAAGGAGAACATTTGTCACAAACAGCATGACCACATCTACGACAGTGATGCTAAAAGTAGTGAAGGAAAAATATGGGTCGAAATTAAACACCAACTTAAACAACATAAAGTATGATGTAGTATAGAGTTCGGAGGAAAAATAATCGTGTCTATCGGCTATCGCAAAGAAAAGAATGAACATCTCCATACCCCTGGATTATCTCATTTAAATTTCAAATCCTCTACAAAAATAAAAACAGATGCTAGAGGCTTCCTGGCCTTCTATCGTATCTTGATTTCATTACATATTAGAAAATAACTCTCTGATTCTAACTTCTTAGGAAGTAAAATTTTGTTGACGAAATAGTTTTAACAATATAAATTATTGGAAAAGTACTAATTGCATATCGTAGACAACTCCGACTTCGAGATAATGAATATAAATTCAAAAAGCATTACTACGAAGAAATGCAATGATTTCAACGCCCGGACATATTACGCTAGCAAATATGGGTGAAAAACATGGGGAGCGTTCCGGTCATAGTAGTATAAAGGTAGAACTTGATACTTAATGGCGCAAATCCCACAGACAACTGCAAACATTCAGGAAAAACTATAGTTGAGAACGAACCTATCTTCCAACGTTTTGTTCAAAAGACCAGTCAATAGGATAGTTGTACTTAATAATGCATGACTAACTGTAAGGTTTCAGTTTTTAATCTTTCCTCACATATTAAATCCCCACTTACAACGAGATGCTTTGGTACAGAAGTGTCACTTAACACGAATTCACAAATAGAAAACTTAACTACAACAAATATAGACAATTGAGAAGCTTTTGAGTAAAGTCTGTTCAACAAAACCATGTTGACCACCATAATCGATCTGTTAGCAGGACATAGACTGGATTAAAGCATGCTCAATGCACGATTGCTTTGCTGCACGCTGATTCTTATCCAATCAGCACTAGTCGATACTTGGAGAATACTCTAGAATCTTCTCATGTAAAAACTATAAATATACTAACGTTTTCCCTATTGTGCTTCTTGCTTCTATCTAACCTTGTTATTTGGAATACAATCTCTTTCCTGTTCAACCGTGTTCTGATTTGGGGACTTGTCGAGTGATTTGGTGTCCAAAAATACTAAGCAATAGGAATAGCTGGGTTATAACCGTAAGAGAGGAATATAACACGATCACTAGTAAAGTTGATTTGAAATATAACCAACAGAATCAACTGAACGTGGAGATTTGAAGCGCATACATTGACTATAAGGTGTGCCGTAAGTTAATAAATGATTACCAACATGACACGAAAACTATAAAGAGTAGATTTACCACAACACATACTGACTTACACTAGAGACCACGTGATCTTACATATAAGTTATATTCTCAGTCAGTACAAATTTACTGGAATTCGATAAAACAGTGAACTCCTTATTCTTTCATCTTAAGTCGTCTCCGATTATTTAGAATACGATTCTCTTAAGTGGCCATCACTGTCCTAACAGATGTTAGCTGGAGAGTTAAAAACAAATAGGAAGGTTACAAGCTGTGGTCTTTGTAACCTTCAGCTTTTCTCAAAAGCTATGACAATCATTCTAGAATGAATAATGTGATGCTGATAATTTGTTTAACATTCACTGAATTGAAAGAGCTGCATTGCATTAATGAGCATACGTTTAACGAAACTGTACAAAAATGAATACCTGACGCACACCAACCGACATGTTGTTCCACATTTTACGGACATTCCAGAAAAATGGCCCGCTACAGATATGACAGATATCTGATTCTGACCAGTTAGGACTTTCTATGCGTGAAGGGTCCATAAACCAGAAAATCAGATAACCATCAAGACCACCGGATATAAGTAGTCCCTTGTACTTACTGTCCTTGACGTTTGCAGAAGAGGCACCCATACTCCACCAACATATTGACGATACTTCTTTGGAATGTCCCTTGATGCATAATTAGTATAATATAAATTATAACCATTAATATACGATTAGATCATTTATAGCTTAGTAACAAATATTTTTTTAAAGTATTCAGTTAATTTATTGTTGAAAAGAATTCACAGAAAATACTGGGACCGAATGGGTAAGGACTTATAAAACCTACGCTATGCTATATCGTGAAACGCACCCGAAACAGGCCTGTTAAATTTAAAGAACAAATCAGACAGTCAATACCTTAGAAGGAAAATCAGTTAGCCAGCTGAAACGTAGGACCAGACACGTATACGCATCGGTACAAGTTGCCACACCTCATTAGCACAACAAGATGATCACTAAATCCACAGAAGTAGTTATCTCAATGATGGTAATATATAAAAGAAAGATTTCATATAAGGATGCCCATATAAGAATGCCCTGGTACGGCCGAGGGTGGGGAGAGTCCGCTCTCCCTCTCGAAATACTCTCACACGGCCACGAGTATATAGACTCTGCCAGGGAAGTCCTACTCATTGCCTTCTCGTGGCGGGGGTGTTGTTTACGAAAATGAGAGGACGAAAAGCGAATGTCCGGCGCTTTAACTGAATTCCAAGTCAGTGGTGCACATGGACTCCAGTATCCTGCGGCAACAAATGGCCTATGAACCAATTTTCGATCACCCGGCTACCGTGGGACTGCATCTCCTCACTTTGCTCCACTGTCTTGGGGGTTAGACCATTAGGTCAAAGGCTCGGGGTGTGGCCCCCCAAGAAAACTAATTCTCTTGCTTCGACGAACATTCAAATGATTCAATTATTATTATTATTATTATTATTATTATTATTATTATTATTATTATTATTATTTACTACATCACTATTCACCCTCTTTTATTCCTACTCTGTCTACTTATTTTTTTCGACTTATACAGCAGCCACTGTCCGGCTGAAAATTGTATGTTACCACTGAATACGAGGACTGAAGCAGTTTTTCTGAAACCACGTGCACCATTCAAACTGGCTGCGTTCAACGTTCGCACATTTATGCAGGTCGGACAAAAGATAGAGCTGGCTATCTCTTTGGGAAGTCTTAATATTGATGTTTGCTGTCTATCCGAGACCCGTATTCAAGACTCTGGCGAAGTACTACAAATTCGATCTCCATCTGTCGCTTCGAAAAGCTTGTTTTACGTGCGCTTATCCGGGGACCCTGTGGCATCTTCGTCTGGTCTTGCTGGCGTTGGTGTCGCACTAAGCGCTAGAGCTGAGGCAGCACTAATCGATTGGATCCCCATTAACGGTCGGTTATGTGTTGTTAGATTAGAGAGTTCCATCAAATTGAGAAGAAATCGGCGTGAGAAACGATGTCTTTTCGTCATCTCCGCCTATGCTCCGACAGATTGCAGCCCGGATGCAATCAAGGATGAGTTTTACCACCAGTTATCTGTTCTTCTCCAGAAAGTGCGTTCGACAGATATTGTGGTACTAGCCGGAGACTTGAATGCTCAGGTCGGGCGTCTAGGCACAGAAGAGAGTCGTTTAGGTGGCCGATGGGGACTTGTTGGTCGCAGGACAGATAACGGGGACCGCCTACTGCAACTATGCACAGACCACAACCTGTTTCTAGCTAGCACTAACTTTCGGCACAGTCATCGCCGATGTGCCACCTGGCGTCCTCCCTCTGCATCTCAAGCCTGGACTCAGATTGATCACATCGCGATCAGCTACCGCTGGCGTGGTTGTGTACAAAACTGCCGCTCCTTTTGGAGTACCTATCTGGACTCTGACCATGTCTTGGTCTGCGCCAATCTTGCCTTACTTTTCAGTGGCCAACGAAGTGACCGCCACCAACGGATTGATGTCAGCAAGTTGGTTGCAACTTCTGTTGCAAGTAAGTATCGAACCGAGCTAGCTGCTAGACTAGCTACCATTCCACCGAAAATTATAGATGAGCATTGGTTGCAATCGCATGACGCCATGAAAATGGCGGGTACAGTCAGTTGTGGGTTCGTGAAACGTCCCGTTTATAAGCACTGGGTTTCTGCAGGTTCCTTACAACTCATTGAAGCCCGTCGGTCTACTCCGGGTGACCGTGAGTTTGACCGCAAACGAAGGTTGTTACGTAGCGAAATCGGACAAAGCTTGCGTAAGGACCGAGAAGCCTGGTAGTCGAAGCGTGCTAATGAACTGGAAGCAGCAGCTGCATCTGGTAACTACCGGAAGCTCTTCCAACTCATCCGAGCCACTGGCGGCAAGAAGTCCGGTGTGAGTGAAACAATCTGCACCTTCGAAGTGCAAAGTACTTCTACAAGATTGGCAGGATTCCAATCCTATACTCACCCTGGATGGTGAGCAGATAGACGTAGTCGAGAAGTTCGTGTATCTGGGTAGCTGCATAAGTGCTGATGATGGCGTGAGTGATGAGATCAATGCACGTATAGTGAAAGCCAGGGCGGCTTATGCCAATCTGTGCCACCTTTGGCGCCTTCGTGATGTTAGTCTGGCCGTAAAAGGTCGGATCTACAACGCGTCGGTGAGAGCAGTCTTGCTCTATGCTTGTGAAAACTGGCCTCTTCGAGTTGTGGACGTTAGACGACTCTCTGTGTTCGATCATCGCTGTCTCCGAAGGATTGCTGACATTCAGTGGTAACACCATGTCAGTAATGCAGATGTTCGGCATCGTGTGTTCGGGCAGAGAGATGATAATTCAATTGGTGTCACCATCTTGAAACACCGACATCGGTGGCTTGGACATGTTCTCCGAATGTCGTCCCAGAGAATTCCACGTCGTGCATTATTTGCCGACTCTGGGACTGGTTGGAGAAAGCGGAGAGGTGGTCAGTATATGACATGGTGTCGTGGTATGAAAGAAAGCTGCAAAGGACTGGCTTGTGTTGGTCCTTCACGACTCCCTGGTTAGGGTCTAAGAGATGGTGCAACACAGTGGCTAGAGACGTTATCAGATATGGCTCAGAATAGAAGCCAGTGGCGATCCTGCTGTAACCTTCTTTTACTTTCTTCATAAAAAGTGGTTCTGTCTCCCTTACCTGAAAAACTTCTTCTGACTGTACCTTTGCGTTCCCTTATTACAACCACACTACCTTACACCAATCTCTTCGTTATTGTTCTCTTTTTTTTTCTATTTCTCTTCGAATTCTCATTGTTTTGTGTGGCGCATATATATTGGCGCTCTCTTGTACCAATATTTATGTGTTCAAATAATATCAATACAATACAAAGAGAAAGAATTGGTTCGTAGAAAGAAAGGTATAAAGTAATTTTAATCTCACGGTTTATGGGAAGACAAAGAGCGTATACACCTACGCCATTGTGATCGATTCTGAGTCGTCACATAGTTTCCAGTCACTGGTTATGATAGTCGCGCAGACTCCAACCAAGTAGTCTGGATCTACCGACATGGCTCAGACCAGGACTTAGCGACCTTATGGACTGATACCACGTTTTGGTTTGGCCGCCCCTAACTTTCGTCCGTCTCCAACACTGGTCAGCATTGTGCGTCATGGTAGTCGGTGGTTTGGCATGTAAAATACTTGGCCCAACCATCTCAGTCGACGGATATCTTGCCTTCACCATAGGTGAAGTAAGTTGGCAAAAGCCAAACGAGCTTTCTGAATCCGTGCAGATTTTGTCAGGCACCAATCAATTAGTGCCGAACAGACTTCCAAGATAAGTGAAGTTGTCGACGTGTTCGACCACTTCATTCTCTATCCTTAGTTCAGGTGTTGACGCAGGTCAGTCCTAAAGCAATAATTTGCATTTAGAGGTGGAGAAACGCATTCCAAACATTCTGGCATTGTTTCTGAGTGCTACCAAAAAACTCTGCATTTTATTAGCGTCTTCACCAGACGGGACTATGTCATCTGTGTATTCTAAGTAAGTGTATCTCCTGGTAGGAGATCAATTCCTGAAAACTCAGTCGACGAGAACGTTATTTCCAGCAGTAGGTCTATGATGAAATTAAACAAAAATGGAGATAGTGAACAACCTTGTCGGACACCACTTGAAGTTGTGAAATCGGACGACAGTTCGCCATGAGCTCTAACTCGACTGGTAGTGTTCGAGTAAAGAGACTTCACAAGATTTACGTACTTCTGAGGTACGCCTTTCAATGACAGACACTGCCACAGAACATCTCGGTCTAGAGTCAAATGCTGCTTTTAAGTCAAGGAAAGCCATCATATGGGATACTGATAGGCATGCCTGTGTTCTAAAATCTGACGAATGTTGAATCTGTGGTCGATGCGGCCACGACCAGGTCTGAAGCCAGCCTGATTTTCACGTGTTTGCAGTTCACGAGTCTTTGTTGGGCGTCCTGTAGTTATTGAGGCTAGTATTTTAGATGTTATATTAGTCAAACTAATGTACTATGATAGTCACAGGATGATTTTGACCTCTTATATATTGGGACAATTAGTGATTGTGATTAGCCAGATGGGATTACGTCCAACTCCCGGATTTTAGTTAAAATATTAGCTAACCTAATCGCTAAAACTGGACCAACATACTTAGAGACCTCTGGAGCCAATTCATCTGGACCAGCTGCTCTTCCTCGTTTCAGATTAGCTGTAGCTTTTTAAACTTCGATTAGAGTCGGCTGACCTACTTCAGTGTTCCACTCAGGCTGTTTGGAGATGGTGGGTAGCTGTAGAGCAGCTGAACTGCTCCTTAAAGTGTTCAACCCATCATTCTAAATATCTAAGAGTGCCGTTATTTCCTAGATTGTCTCACTTACACTTAACTTCTTAATCCCGGTTTCTTCTATTAGTCCGAAAAGCCGTCTTGTGTTACATACAGCCGCTGTCTTTTCCATATCTTTTGCTTTTGGTTAGCCTAGATCTGATTTGCTTTTGCTCTTCATCGTGTTCGGAGCCTGATGGGATGAGTTTGCGAGGGTCTATCAGGGCAATAGACTTTGTAGAAATCCACTGATTTTTCGTGGCCCTTTGGTTCAGATCACTAATAGATGTCACTGCTGTTTCCACAGCTGTTAGTATATGTTTACAAGTAACATCTGGGTCAGCCTAGCTTCCAGAATTGCCTAAGTGTGACTTCGTTTGCTCCTAAAATTTACCTTTGCCCTTCTCATCGCTGACTTCATTTCTAATGGCTCTGTTTAATGTGGCTTTTCTGCATCCAGTGAGGCGCAGGTGAATGCGTGCTCGTATTAGAGCATGAACAGAGTCTAAACATGTACCCCAGAACGAGCAGCAGTCTTCTATCTGGCTTCTCCAAGGATGACTGGTGGCAATATGGCCTATTGGAGTCCATCGTTGGTTTGTTGCAGGAGGTCGTTACGTTAGACGATGGCTCTTCTTATGCTTAAAATTAGTGCTTGTTAAAAATAGACGATTGTTTGAGCACAGTTGCAGCAGACGATCACTATTATCTGTTCGCTGATCCGGAATACCTAAATACCTACCTAAATGTATTTCTGTTTGTTTTAAGCTAACCACTTGGGCGTTAGAGTCACCTGCTACAAGTACTACGTCTGAGTGTTCAGCATTTTGAAGCTTCCTGTAAAATTCATCTCACTTCGTCCGGGCTGCAGTCAGTGGGAGTGTAGGTGGAAACGACATGTGTCCCTATCCTTCCGAGTTCTTACGGAGCTGTTTATCCGAATAGCACATAAGCGAGTGTTAACAGGGATACATCCCAATAGTGCTTGTTCTGCCCTCATATTTAATGCTATGCCCAAACCCGCTAGTTCACGAGATCTAGCATTCAGGCCTCCAGATAAAGGGAGGGTGTATCTCGTTGGCTCCCCGTTTAAGGTAGGTTAGGTCAAGCTTTTTAGCATAAACTGTGAATAATCTTCCAGAGGTGACGATGGTCAAATATCGAGATGTTCAAAAGTTCCTTTTTTAGGAATCTAACGGATGGTTTTTCGCTAAAAAGTTTGTAGACCTGACATTTTTTAAAAATTTGGTTACTTAAGCTCAAATATTTTTACAAAGGGGTACTAGAATATTTATACACTTCATAATGAGAACATGACATAGAGGAAGGAGGGTGAATATGTTAAATAAAAAAGTAATATGCCGATAAAAATAAGTGGATAAGAATAAAACAATAATGGGAGCAGTTCAGTTAAGAAAAACAGAACCGAAGATTGTTTCAGCACGAGGTTCCTCTCACTTGTATGAAGAAAGTAAGAGTAGATTATACCAGTCCTGTCAATTACTTTTATACTGGGCCATTTCTGATAACGTCTTAAGCCGCTGTGTTGCAATATTTCCCGGACCTCAACCATGGAGTCTCCAGGTAGCAGATCCTGACCACTATCACCTCCTACCACTAGAGCTGTTTACAGAATGTCACCGGTGAAGAAGTTGATAAGGAATGGTGGGGTTGGGCAACCATGCCAAGCTCACTGCTTGGATGGAACAATGAGGTTTGTGTTCCCACTCTGCCTGAGGTGTTAGTATGTAGGGGCCTTAAGATGTTAGTTGCAGTTTATGCAGGGTTTTTGTTTCAACTCTGGTGCTTGGTGTGACATGGACGTCAGAAAGATCACAGGTCTTCGGGTAAAAGCATATTACACAAGTTTTCCGAATCGACATATGGAGAGCGGATGTGTAGAAGCTCACTAAACTTTCGAACGCCGGTCAAATAGATAACATACATCCATGTTAAGATAAGACGGCCAACCCCTATCTGTTATCCGACCTAGATTACTGAGCGAACGGTCAAGAAGGCCAGTTCGTGTGGCGCACGTGGTCGTAGAAAGTCTGGTACAGAACTTGTATTTGGTGGTAGTATTTAACTTTCAAATCTGACCCTATATCCTTCCAAATTTCAAATTCGTGTTAAACAACTTAGGGTGTAAATAATGGAAATTAAACCAAAGAGGAGAATAGTGCACTCACTTGCAACTCAAAAGATGAACCTTTAGCTCCACCAATATCCCAGAAGATAACAGAACGGTCGGCACTGCAAGAAAATAGACGAGAATTTACACTATCCCAAGCCAGAAAGGATACTGACTGCTCATGACCACGGAGTTCACGAATTACACGACACATTACTTGACTATTGACTTGATTAATGCTCAGTAAAGTAATGCGACCGCTGCTATCACCAACAAACACGTAGTGTGAGCCAACATCATATCTGTAGTCGAGAAAACGTAAATCCCATAAGTAACAGTAAAACCGTCTGACTATAACAACTACAACGGTCAAGAAATTGAGAAATGAAGATAAAAGATATATGTAAAAGTATGAAGCAAAAAGATGCTGAGTCCTACAAGATCATAAACATGGACGTATCTATATTTCTGATACGTCCATGCATTGTGCTAATAATTTACACTACTCTGACTTTAGTACCATGAACAAGACTATTATGTTATCTTTTTTGCCTCACCATCTAAATTAAAAACATATTTTGCAAAAGAAAATATTTTAGATGTAGACGCAGCATAATCCATCAAAATACATTGGATTTATCGATAATATATCAACAAGAAATGATTAGTTTTTAAACTGAGTGATTGTCATTGACGCAAAATACCACAAAAATGTATTGAGATTGCGTGAAGTATTCACATTAAGTAGTTTACTATGATAGATAGATTGATTTGATTTTCATAAGTTTTAATATCCCTAACAAGGTTTTAGGGTGGATATGGAAAAGCGCCGGTGATTTCGTATCCTACTAGATGTTTGGATACTACCTAGGTATAAGCTGATGCGATAATAGATACTAACACCATAATATACAACGATTTGTTAACAAGTTTCTGGAGGCAAGATAGCACTAGCCAAGTAATTAGTTGCTAGCTTTTAAAATGAACATTGTACATGGTAAATAGTGTTGAACTATATCCAACTTATCAGAGATGTACAATCCCCAAATACAACTTATGAGGAAGTAAAACGATATCAACTGGGATGGTTTTTCAGTGCATTATATTATTTGGTGTGATTTTGTCCATGGACTCACAACACATTTTTACTATTATTTTTGTTTACTGACAAAAACTCAATCCATAAATTCTAATCAAGACAACTGATGCATAATCGATGAACTTATATGTATTTTGAGTTTATTATACTAAGGTCATTATCAGCAAGCTTTAACTACGAAACTGGTCCCTTTGCTTTAGTTAACAGGGCAGGACAGAAGATAGCCTCGTTCATTGTATCGAAGTGATTGAAAAATAGTGTACGAGAGTAATACAACTCATAAGCTTCGATACTAATTTGAGTGAACTTGAATGCTGAATGTGTGGTCAGATATGGTGATATCTCCATAAAAGTCGTAAGTTGTAGTTGAGTGCGACTAACTAGATAGAGTAAATGATAGATGTTCATTTATGCTAGTTAGAATACGGGATTATGTAAGCCTCTAGACATCGATGGAAACTGGATCGCTCCGAAAGCGACTCGTTTCCAAACAAGCAGAAGTATTTAAGTAAGAAATGATTTACATACATTATATACAATAAATTTATTTGTGCATGAAGTGGTATATAAGTTAACTGAACATATTTGATTTTTCGATGACTTTTGTTATTTTATACGCGATTTCACTTGGAACTTTGTTAAAGATATTGTGCTTGACAGACACTACAATAGCAGACCTTTGCTACGGTCGAACATAACAGATACTCAATGTATTCCGTGTTTCGCAGAACACATGCACACGGATCTTTAACACATAATTCTAAAAAACTATCCTTTAGTCTCACTCGAGATATGAGAAACGATTTTTTCAACAAAAGAGAATTCTTTTGTGTTTCTTTAATAAGTCCGCAAAAGTCTAGAGAGTAATGTTTTAGATCACACGTAAATATTTGCCAACCAAACCACACAAAGTAGGCAAGCTGTCATGATAAAAACAATCCACCTACTCCAAACAAGTGGCTGAGTGCTCTAAATTATGTTCACATATACGTCTACCACTATTGGTCGAATACCATGCGACAGTACAATCTTTTGAAGCAGATACAACCCAACCCATATCTGGGGTGCAAACAATTCCAGTTGTCCTAGCAGTATGAGAGAGATAGTCTCTTTTGTGTTCAATATGATTCAAATCTTCAGCAACGTCATATTCTACAACCGTCCCATTCTCCAAACCAACGAATAATCTGTGTAATTCGGCAGAATACGTGATACAGGTAATGGGACCTAGTAATCAAAGCACTAATTTAATGGAACGTACTGGGTAGCAGCTCGATAACTGTTGGCCAGAACTTCCCAGTATCTCTCCTGACCCAAATCCTCAAAGTGCTAAAAATTTAGTCAGGAAAATATGCAACTTGCCGATCCTCTGATCCTGTGACGATAGAGTCTCTACCAGGAATAAAGATCGCATCATTTACGCCACAAGAGAGTCCGTCGATTTTGAATACTAGTTCCGGCTTCGTAATCTGGCGAGAAGGATCCTGAATAACAGCTGCCATCTGTAAGAACGTAGCACGCTAGTCAAATAGCCACGTTTTAGTAGCTCACTGTCATGTTCAAGTACACGAACTGAATTAAGATTCAAGAAAGAAGGCACAAGACGTATTTTATTACTCGAATAATGTATTTCTGTATTTACAGTATATAATCTTGCATGAATCGACTGAAGAGTGAACACTACATCACTCAGCATATTTTAAGGGTTGGTCACACATTTCAAAAAGTAATATACAACAGACATACCGTTTGTTCTTGATTTGTGAAACGATATATTATGTTATTTCCGTTTTAATGACCCACTGGTAAATCGTAATAAGATGTTATCCTTAGTCCTTAAGAATATGTCAAGTTTCCTCCTAGAGGACTCCTGGTAAGTCTCTTGGACTAGTTCAGTCGACAGCGAATTCCAGCATTTGACAACTCTTAAGGAGTAGAAGTTGTGTCTTTAGTTCGTTCTGCTATGTTGTATCTCCGGTTTCTGGGTGTTACTCCTTAGGTTTGTGTTGGAGCTAAACTTTAGTAGGTGTTTAAAGGGATGTCCAGAAGTGTTAGGTCACCTCTAAGACGCCTATATTGTAGTGAGTAAAGTCTAAGTGACTGGAGACGCTCTTCATAGGGCTTGAATTTGGGTCCTCAAACCGATTTCGTGGCTCGCCGTTGGATACACTACAGAGTGTCCTTATGTTTTTGGAGTGAGGGAGGATATACTATGTTTCCGTGCTCTAAATGGGGACAAATAAAACTGTTGAAGATTATGTGGAAAGTTCCACCGTCAAACTGGCCAAAAAGGCGCTTCAATGTTATCAGTGCAAGGTTTGCTCGAAAGGCATTTCTGTCACAGTTAGCGTAGGACTTTAAATCGTAGGGTACCAAGACTCCTAAATTTTTTCAACTCGGGATACTACTAGAGAGGAGTTTCTTGGGCTGTAACTGTAGTCTGCAACATACCGCAGATGGACCACTTTACACTTTGAAGTGTTAAAGGTTAGTCCGTTATCGTCCGCCCAACTTTGAAGCCGAGTCGGATCCTCCTGAAGTACTTGTATATCGTCTTGGTTGCGTATCTCTCTCCAATGTTTCACGTCATCAGCAACAAGTACACCTTGCACAATGATATTTCTTCCAAGGAAAAACTTCTCACGAGATTCTTCAGGGGTGTTTCGGATGAGATCGCGCCCAGAATACGGTGTGTCGGGCAGTATTCTTACGTTCCCATCGGATTTCAGTTCACGACTAGCTAACAGGACACCCTCTACGTCGGTAGAATTCTTAAGTGTTACATGAAGTAGCCTCAGGTGATTTTGACGTTGAGATTCTTTTCCCCAAGTGATTCGCGTGACCGTCAAAGGCTCTGTTCTGGGAAGTTCAAGCTTCTTGTTCAATTCTCCCCAGAGCATCATGTCACTTTTGTCCTACAAACTGAAAGGAAGGTCAGGGTTGTCTTTGAGGTTCATAATTATGGGAGAGTCATCACGAACCGTTATTGTTTTACCAGGTTTTCCGTTGAGTTCAGGTTCAGCACCTTGTTGTTTGGAGGTCGAAGCGCATTTCCGATTCCTAGGCTCTTTCATGACCGGATGGATATTCTTGGGGGTAGATTGTGCGACCAAATTACCAGTTGATTTTCGTAAAGTATTTGGGATGTTCAGCTTAGCGATGACTCCTGATCCTTTTTAGCTCTGTTAATGTGGTTCCAATCACATACAGAGTTTTTGGAAACCACTGTTGCATTCAAGGACCATGAGCTGGGAGACCCGAGTTTGCTGATGGAATCTATTACCGTAGACGATGTGATGGTGCTGAGTTTTAGCATGTCATCACTAGTGCTAATGCATGCTCCATCCATAGTAGACCTGTCGACGTCCCTATTCTTGTTTTCATTGTACCTCCTTGTTTGTCTACCCATTTTATGACTGTCTTTTTCCAAGTTTGCTGACAACTTATTCCTCAGACCAGTCAATAGGACAATGATGTTACTCAGCAAAACTACATCATCCGTGTTGTACGTAACACATACCCACTTATTATCCGACTTGCTGACTCTGTTGTAAGCAGTTGGTGTGAGATCTGTGCACGCTTCATGGAACCAACCTTTGCAATCATCGCCCTGCATACCAGATGTAACAGCAAGACGACACCCAGGTCGTTTGCATGAATTTTCATGACTATATTGACGTAAACTGTATTACGGATGCTAGAAAAAGCCTAAGACCGTTAAACAAGACACTTAAAAGCACACTAAAAACGGGCAAAAACGAATAAAAATGGATGTGATGGACTGAACTAGTCTTCACGTGAAAAACTAAAAAAATCGAATAGTTAACTATTAAATTTGGTGAAACTAAAAAAAGTAATCTACCGGACGTATAGCTCAGAGTAGATTCTTTAGATCAGAAATGGTACTTATGTTGTGTAAGAACACAGCAAAAGTTTGAGAAATGCAAATCGCATTAGGATTAAACTTTTCGTTTGAATTTCAGTGAAGTATACTGACTCACTTTTCAGAAATAGCCCTAGTGGATTCGTAGCAGTATATGAATCCTTAGAACAGGTGGATATAAAGAGCCGTTCGCTGAATAAATTGGTTTCATATCAACGTTATTCGAGTACATTTCAACGAGATTATCCCAGTACCAACATCAGCAGATAATGATGATTGGCTCGTAATATATATTTCATTTTGGTTTATCATCGAGCCAAGCATCATTAACAAATCACTTTTCAACACGCCTCGTTGAGAATCTCTTGTGCAAAACTAGTCTGTTTATGTTGCACATACTTAAACGCATCGGCCGATATTAAAAGGTATCTTCGCATCTTTTCATTTTCAGCTTGTAATCCGGTTGAACTTTGGATTTTTACATAAAGAGAAGTTTAGGATAATAGCATTGACAAACACTAAAAATCCATGACATCTTCAATGATGAGGCTCTATGTGATCTGGTGCATCAATTTGTAAACTATGTCTTTTACCTTCAGCAAATCATTATTTCCGCAATTGCTGTAAACTAAAGTACCATATTCAAGAATGGGATGATATACTTTTGACTTATTAGCAATCTAGATTCAATGTTTTTGAAATCGATCACAATGAATCAGACAAGCATTCTTGCTTTTAATACTTGAGATGCAATATCCTCGAAAATTTTCGTACTGTTGCCATCCCTTAAACCCAAGTCGCAAACAATGTTTTTAGGTTTCAAAACGTGTTTGTGTAGTATCAGATTTAGGTTAGAGCTGCAATTAATGTAAATGAATCCACTTTTATTAACATTCAGTGTCAGATTCCGCAACACGGTCTATTCGTATAACTTGTTCTTGTATTCTTGTATTACTGTTGAAATATAGCCTTCTTTGGTAGGAGACGAAAATGAATAACCCAAGCTTAGGCCGTCAGCAGAAGAGAATCTTGAACATATCTGGAAAGGTTTGAACTGGTCTAGGCGTGTCCATTTCTGGGGGAATCCAGTAGTAAAATTCGTTAAAGCTGTTAAAAATTATACCATATTGTGCCTCCTTCTCAAGTTTAGCTGAACATGCCTGAGACAATTCTGACGATATTGTGAGCTTTGATGATGATGACGAATTAAGAAGAGAGAAATGGACGGAAAATCGTTGCAGATATATAATAAATAAATGCGTAAATGTAAAATAGGACCAACATTTGTCCGATTGAGGAATTTTTTAATTGTGGATTTTTCGGACAGATACACTTTACATATCAAAGTAATATACGGCCTTCCATATTCAGGATCAAACAATTAGAATGAGTATTGCATATGTTACATATAAAATGAAAGTCGGCATCAGTTTAAACAGGAGGGTTGAAACGAGAATTAATGCCACCCAGAATTAATGTGATACTTTATGATCAATATGTGTGGGACAGTTTTAAGGTGAAAGCACTGGCCAGAAGCTATAGCGAACTCACCGAATTGAACGAGAAGCTCCGGAGAAAGAATTACAGCATCCGAAGGCAATTCAAGGGATTATATGCAAATTTTGCAACTTAATTCCTCATCTGATGCGACTATACGTTTTTGAAAGTGTTAGATTGAGGTTCAAATCAAACAATTAATTCCAATAAGTATGTGAGTTATAGCGTCCAGATACAATTTCATGAATGGCATGTACAATTTCAAGTATTATTCATTGTCATATAGGATTATTTATCTTTTGAAAGTGCTAGATTAAGGTTCTGTTAAATGGTCAAAACAGTTAATTATGTTCACATAACTACGTGATTTGAAGTTGTTGGATTGTAATTCTAACGTACAACAAAACACATACCGAATGTTAATATTTCTGGAAAGATTTGTTTTTCATAATCTCAACAGAAAATACTGTTTTATTCTCGGCTAAGACTAGAAGAGAAGACCACATGCCTTGGTAGGCGAGTAACGTTCTGCTGTTTGATCGCTGGGTTGTTATCGAATGCCTAGTGTCAGGTATGGACTTAAGCGTCTGAAGTTGCTTGTAATAGAACGACTTGGTAAAGTAGCGAGACCAACGTAAAGTGGGAAACAAGATTCCCAGACGTATGATACATGGTAGAAAACCTCAATATCATTGAATGATTTTGCCAATACCAATCATAAAGAGCCAGAGATAAACAAAATTTTCCATCTCACAAACGTGAGTGGGTCGTAACCGAAACGCCACTGACCAATGTTTGCTGGTTAGTAACGCCATCCTCCACCCATAATGATGTTAAATGATAATTATCTATTTTCAAATAAGGATATTTTAGGCGAGGCGCCTCATTTTATAGACAAGACCAGGCCGTTACAAACGCAACAGGATTTACCGTAATACATTATCCAGTTAGATTGATATGTTACAAGACACAATGGTCGTAGAAACAGGAGGACAAACATGAATATAAGACTCGGACGTCCCCTGAGTTAGTGCGCTTTATAAAGGTCATGTGACGAGCAGCTGGTGACCAAGAATAGATGTGAGTGAAGTCCAGAGCTGTTTGTAACAAGGTATATTGCAG